TTCTCTGGGCAAACCATTTAGTTCCCACACACAGACGTCCTGCAGATGTAATGACCATCTCCATTTTACAGATGGGGAAGTGGGGGCTCAGAGAGGAGAAGGACTTGCTTCAAGTCACACAGGGAGAAGTCTCTGAGCTGGGAGAGCCTGTGGCTTCTAAGCTGCTGCTATTGTCGCTGCCTTCCCGTGTTTGCGTACTCGACAGGGACAATAACGAGAGTAACTCTTTCCAACCAAGTCACCATGTGAGTTTCTGGTTGCTGATGTGACAAATCACCACCAACTCACTAGCTTTAAACAACACACATTTATTATCGTACAGTTCTTTGGGTCAGAAGTCTTAATGGGAGGAAATTAAGGTGTTACTGGAAAGAGGGGTCTTTATTCAGGATTTCGCCATGTTGGTCAGGCTGGTCTCGAACTCCTGACCTCATGACCTGCCTGCCTTGGCCTCCCAAAGTGCTGGGATTACAGGCATACGCCACGGCGCCCCGCCAAGTTTTTCTTATGTAGGAATCTTGTCCCTGTAAAGGCTAAACCAAACCTGTGCCTACCTGCAGTGGGCTGACAGCATGATATTTAGTACTCTACTGCTTTAAAGAAAGCTATCCTTGACATTTTCCTATGCGAGCACATCAGAACATAACTCGAATTATTTTGCAAGCGTACACTGTTAAGGGTATTGGGGCATCTGGACTTTCTGCTGTTGGAGGAGTTTGTCCTTGCAGGCATTACCAAGCTGCTTCCTTAGTTGTAAACATCTTAGGACCATGGGTTGTGGCTGGCAAGGAATGTGCTTTGCTAGTTTTAAGATGGCATTGATTTTACTTATTTATTTATTTTTGAGACAGACTCTGACTCTGCCGCCCCAACTGGAGTGCAGTGGTGCGATCTCGGCTCACTGTAACCTCTGCCTCCCAGGCTCAAGCAGTTCTCCCACCTCAGCCTCCCGAGTAGCTGGGATTACCGGTGCATGCCACCACTGCCCGGCTCATTTTTGTATTTTTAGTAGAGAGGGGGTTTCACCACGCTGGCCAGGCTGGTCTTGAACTCTTGATCTCAAATGATCCACCAGCCTCAGACTCCCAAAGTGCTGGGATTACAGGTGTGAGCCACTGCGCCCAGCCAAGATGGAGTTGATTTTAAAGTGGTGTCACTCTGGCTCTCCTAGGCTCCTGTGTCCCTAACAAAAGTGTTGGCAGGGCTGGCTCCTCCTGAAGGCTCTGAGGGACAGTGCATATCCTTGGCTCTGGCTGTGCCAGCTTCTAGGGGCAAGAAAGGCCTGCATCCCTTGGCTCACAGCTCCTTCCTCCGTCTTCAAAGCTGTCAGCGTGGTGTCTTCCACTCCTTCTCTGACCCCCTGCCTCCCTGTTATAAGGACTCTTGTGATTTGACTGGGCCCACCTGAACAATCCGGGATAACCCCCCGTCTCCAGGTCCTTAACTAATCACCCGTGCAAAGTCCCCTTTGCCCCGTAAAGTAACAGCCAGGGCCTGGGGACTCAGACAGGGATAGCTTTGGGGGCCATTATTCTTTCTATCACAATCACCCTGTGGGTTAGGAAAAAAGGTCTCAGGCAAGCAACCTGACCATAGGGGTCAGCAGAGGCCTCAGAGCTTGGCAAGCTTGGTCTCTCAGGTGGTGAGAAGAGGCAGGAAGAGAGTGTGCCAGAGCAGGCCGGGACCGTGGGGCTGAGACGGGCTCACTGTCCACCAAGACCTACCTCCTTTCTTCCTGGACTGGCTCTGAGACTCCACTGGCAGTCTCCCGTTAGGTTACGTGGACATAAACCCCCATGGCTCCAGGCTTCCACTCTTCCTTCATCCTCAGGGTGGACATGGCCCCAAGCTGATCTAAGCATAAGAGTCACCTAGGGCTGGGCGCGGTGGCTCAGGCCTGTAATCCCAGCATTTGGGAGGCCGAGGCGGGTGGATCATGAGGTCAAGAGATCGAGACCATCCCAGTCAACATGGTGAAACCCCGTCTCTATTAAAAATACAAAAAATTAGCTGGGCATAGTAGTGCATGCCTATAATACCAGCTCAGGAGGCTGAGGCAGGAGAATTGCCTGAACCCAGGAGGCGGAAGTTGCGGTGAGCCGAGATCGCGCCATTGCACTCCAGCCTGGGTAACAAGAGCGAAACTCTGTCTCACCTAGGGTGTTGCCAGATATTGGTTCCCAGCTGTCCCCTGGAACAAGACTGAATGTTAACAAGTGCCCAGAGATCCTCGTGAGCTGAGAGTTTGGGAGACACTGCAGCAGATCACAGTGTGGCTGCATGATTCCTTTCAGCAGGGTGGGCATGGGGAATCCATAGGAAGGCAATGTGGGGAGCGCGCCCCCACCCCTGCGATGGAGTCAAAGAGCTGTGTGCAGTCTTTCGGGTTGGCCTCCGTGGGCTGTCTTCACTGACGGAGTCTGGCCTGCAGAAATGAAAAGTGTCTGCTTTCCTGTATCTGATGGAGGTATCTACTTTGAGCAGCTCATTTTTCTCCCCTGCCCAAGAGGGTTGCCCAGGCCAGGTGAAGGCAAGGGAGGAAGCACTGAGTCAGGGCACTGGTACAGAGCCAAGCTACCCAAAGCCCTGCAGCACCCCAGAAGCATTAACAAGTCGCCCAATAGGAAGGGATGGGAGGACTCTGGAATGGGATGCATGCAGCCTTGCCCCTCTGAACTTCAGCTCACCTCTGCAGGGCTGCAGTGGCAGGGGACCGGTCCCCTGGGAGTGCTCACAGCCATTCGACAGATCTGAGAAGCAAGGCTGAGAGAGGGAAGGGCTCTGTCACCCAGTCTCATTTCATCCTCAAATGTCCCCTCACTCCTGCTCAGGCAGGACAAGCCTTCAACGTGCCGCATCTTCCAGGCGGCCCTCCCAGTCCCCAGCCTGGCTTCTGGGGCCACCACCATGGTGGGACTTACAGAGACCTGGGCAGTGCATCCCGCATCCCACATCCCCCTGTCCCTTGTGTCTGCAGCCCACCTGTCCAAACTCAGCACTGAGGCTACCAGAAAAAGGAGCCAGTTGAACTCCAGGAGCTCCCAGAAAATCCAGCAGAAATCTGCATTTTTGTCCGTGCACTGCCACCTGCTGGCCAGCAGGTGTGGAGTTGCTGAGAGGCTAGAGGCAGAATGGATGGTTCAGGCTGTGGAAGTTTCACCTTCCAGCTCCGCCTCTCCTGCGCACAGGACTAGGGCCCCGTCCCTGGGGGTGTGACTGACCCCCCCCATTTCCCCTCTGCTGCCCCTTTCAAATCCATCTCGCATGCTGTGGCCTTGTTGAAAAGACTCTGTTAAAATAACTCACATGGAGGTGTTGTGACTGATGATGACTTTAATTATATCTTTTACCCAGCCCCTCTGAGAAAAAAAAAAATTGGAATCCAAGTTGGACCATGTTTACCTCCAAATAAGTGACTCTCTAATTGTGGAGTTTCAGGCTCTGCATTGGTGTTTTGGACAGGCAGGGCTCTTCCTAAGCATCCCTGGATCTCTGATTTACCCTGAGTGTAGAGGTTGAGTCAGTAGGGCATATATTGTACCTGTCACCTCAGGATGTCATAAAGGAATAGAGTATTAGAGTTGGCAGTGACCTTAGAGACCCAGCTATCGCACAGGGGAATCCAAGAAAGGGAAGGGATTTGCCCATGGGGAACAGACTGGAAGCAGAATCTCTCCCCAAAACTGACAGACATTCTGAGAATTTTAAGGGGAAGCATGATATTCAAATCCCAGAGAGCAGTCTTGCTCGCCCAATCCCATTATCCCCTATTCGTTCCCAAGGATGACATACTGGGCAGAGGGAGGCATCACTGGGGTAGAGGGAGCCCCCTGCCTCCTCCAGCTCAG